GAGGGTCCTGATATTTGCCCTTTTCTGATCGTCAGGAATCTGCCATTGAGCACCATGACCTTTTGCAGATGACAGAGTGGCTTTGCAGTGACATTTGCCAGCTCCATTAAGCACCCTTGAATGCAGCCCCCCGGTCTTGTGTCTGTCCAATTTGTTGATGTCCCTAATTTGGTTTTCCTCTACTTCCTTTCACCAGGACTAGCCTTGGGAATGTGTAGTTGTGAAAGTGTAATGTGATGTGAAAACCAGTGTCAAGGAATCATTGAAAACCTCAGCCTCTCTTCTGTCCTTTGTCACTTGATTCTTCAACACACTTATTTTCTGGGTTGGTAATAGGTACAAAATGCAATAGAATTCTTGGTGTAAATGTTTTATTCCGGCAAGATTATTGGTGCCATGATTATGGTATTGGAAGAGAAAACAGATAATTCTATTCTTGCAAGTCATCATTTGAATGGGTACCAGTTTGCCCTGATCTTGCTGCGCTTTCTAGAAAATTATATATTGTTTTGGTGGGTGTTTAAATGTTTGCTGTGATTATAATATTGGCATTCAGTATAAATTTATAAAATCTTTTCTCTTCAAAAACTGCATTTGTTTATTCATATGCTTCCCAAGAACTGAATTACTGCTTCCTGTTGACTTCACTTCCTGTCTTGTATGTCTAGGGTGATTTTCATTTATTGAAAAAGAAAACAAAAAATACCACTGCTGTGACGTGGGGGAAGAGGCAGGGAATGATGCCACAAAGTGAAAATGCCAAGTCTCCTAAATGTTATAACTTGCCATTGTGTTTGATTTTTGTATTTTAACCTAGAGAAATCAAAAAAACCCCCACATATTTTATTGGTAGGCTTATCTTTTCATTATCAGGCTTCTTATTCTTTAGGGATTAAGAGGTACGAACAATTAAAAGATTGCTTAGTTTTCCATAGAAGAGATGCTGCGGTTCCCTGTGGTAGTTGAAGACTGTAGAGCCTGTTTCCCTCAAATGTTTAATTGCAGTCAAGTTTTACATTTTCTTCTTTATGAGGACAAAACTATTCCTACATCGACCAGTTAATTTTGAATTTGAGATTTTTAACTGTAATGTAAATTTAGAATGATTATCCCTGATTTTAAGGCTTTGATACTTTATTCTGCTATATTTATTACTGAATTGAATTTTAAACTGTTCTAATGATGCAAATGAAGGATATTTTGTAGTATTGTGTCAATACATCTCTACAAAATTTATGATATGTGAGATGAAATAACAGTATTATTTTTTTTTTAATCTGCCTTTTATGTCATAGGTCTCCTTTTTTTCCATCTCTGAGATATTTTTTCACACTTGCTGAACGTATTTGTGCTTAAAGTATCCTTCTAAATTAGGGTTTGAAATATCAAACTTTTTAATACTAAAGCTTTGCAATGTGCTCACATTCAGCAGGTGTCTCTTCCTGTTACTTTTGATTTTTATTTTTTCGGAGACTGAATGTTTCTTATGGTGCTCTTGTAATTCTAAATTTAGTAGAACTTAAAAAAAATAATGTTTTGAAGCAGCGTTATAATAAAAACTTAATTCTCTTTAAGATGGCAATTTTTTTATTCAAGCTTGTAAGAGCAACACCTACTCTTGTATGGTATGGGGCCACTAAAATGTGAGCTGCTACTGTGTTACAGTTAGCTGTGGAAGTTGTTTATAAACAGGGCTTTTATTTCCCCTTTTTTTTCCCTTATTGTTTGCTTTTTTCTGTTTTTTGTTTTTTGTTTTTTTTTTTTTTCCATCAAACATGTCTCTTTATCTTCAGAGGAGGAAATTACCCTTATCCAAAATCTTGGGGAAGCCATTTGGGCTGCTGTTATGCTCTAAACAGACTACTGGCAAAATATGTTTGAGTTTTGTAAAAGGAGCTTTGTCATCATGTTTGGCCTTTCTTTTGGCTTCCTAACACTTTTGTAAACTCTTATCACTCCCTTTAAAAGCCACTTTCCCAATTCCCTTGGCTCACAAAGAATTACACTAGGTTTTATAAAGAAAATCTCACTTGACTCAAAGGTAGAAGTAGGGTTTTCCTGCTTTTGTAAAGAGAGGAGCTGGTACTAGTGGTGTAATGGGTAACCATGGTGTGTTAGCAGCCTCTGAGTAGAACAGGTTTTAGAGACGTTTGGAAATTGGTTTATTACTTTGTACCTCAACTGTGCCAGCACAATTCAGAGAATTTAAGTCTTGGAAGCCTTTGGTTATTTTGTTCACACTCTGGAGGAGACAGTACTATGGGGCTAAAAATGGACTTTATCCGTAAACTGTAATTTATTTTCCTTCTTTTCACCGTGCTTATATTTCCTCTAGAATACTTGGATAGATGGAGGACAGGGCAGAGGCCACTTGTTCTGGGTTTCCATATGCAGAACCTGGGCAGAGAAGAGGAGCAAGCAGTTCATTCCCCACAGCCCTGGGTCAGTGTAAGGGCAAAGCAAAGTTGGGCAGTGGAGCTCGGGATCTCCGCTCTTTAACTGGCTTTTAATGTGAGAAAAATAATTTTCAGAGACTTCATACTCATCCATTGCTTTGAGAAGACCAAATGCTATGTTTTTGAGCCATCATGTCATATTTCAACATTAAAGCACTGATTATGAGAGTTAACAAACACAGCTGAAAGTGTCTTTTTCCAATTTTGTTCTAGGAAACACCTGAGGTATTTTTTCTGAAAATTTCCAGAGAGGGTCTGCCATCTGATATGGAAAATTTTAGTCCATATTTAATTTGTTAAAAATTTGACCAATTAAAAATAGTTGTACTGTCTTAAATGTATGTCAGGCTTCGTTGTAGACGGTGCTACCAGAAATGCTTGTAATATCACCAGTTACATCGTAGTACTTCTTATTATACTGAGTTCTCCTTCAAGTACCTTGAAATCTAAGCAGATAAGCAACAGGACAATGAGAATAACCTTTAGTCTGACCAGTTTTGCTCCCTAGTCAGTCAGTGGTGATGTGTGTAACAGTAGCAGCTGTGTGGTAGCGCTGCTCATGAAAGAGATCTCTCCAAACACCTCAAAACTAAGTAGATGAGCACAGAGGGCAATGAGAATAACTTCTAGTCCAATCCATTTTGCTTCACACTTGTCCAGTAACAGCTGCAAGCCATTGATATCTTAAGGCAGAGGGTAAAACAATTTTCAGCTGAGAAAATTTTCCCGTCTTTTTCTATGAGCAGCATAGGAAATCTCTGTGCAGATTGGGATTATGTTCAGTAGCTGCTCATGGAGTAGTAGCTGCAAATTTGTGTAATTTAATCTTATATCCGTTTATGCTTTTGATCCCTGTAATATTCTGTCATCATGAGTTGCACAGTTCAATTATGTGCTTAATACCATAAGGGCTTCTTGCTTTTGGGCTTCATACAACTTGTTTTCCTCTAACGTGAGAACTAAGGGATTGTATAACACCTCGTTTTGGCCACATGTGAGTTGTGCTCAGCATTGGCTCTTTCTCTTCTAGGCTGGCAAATTTCAGGTTTTATTATATGCAAGCTTTTTATTGCTGTCATTGTCTTACCTACTTTTTTTCATGTTTGTGTCAGATCTTGTGTATTTTCTTGTCTGTTATCTTGCTGCATCCATGTAACTGACCTCTTGCTGAAATCTGCTTTTGTCCATTTGCTGTTTTGTTCCTTCTTTTAATGAGCTGTGTTCAGATTTTGTCCATTTGTTTTTCACTTCTTCTCTCTTCCCTGGGTAGTGATGAATAGGGGAAAGCATGTGTTTCAGGTAGGAAGAAAGCAATTCAAAGCCTTGCAAATAGTTAGCAAGAGCTGCAGGAAACAAGTGTATATGTTTTCAATGCTTAGCTACAGTTTGTTTTTATTTGCCTTTCGGATATTTGAGTTGCATTTTTTTAGGATGACTCTTCACAGTGCTGAAAGCTGGATTCATTAAAAATTAATATGTTTTCTTATGTAACCTAGAGATTCTAAGCTATACTAGTGTTCCAAATATTGAAGGCAATACTGTTAAGTGTCATGCCCCCCAGGGGTGCTGTGGATACCAGCTCACAAGTGGGAAGGACAAGCATTCCATCTCTTAAAAGTTTTGAGTCTTTGAGGCTGAGAATGGGCAAGAGTTCAGTATCTTCTTTTGCTGCAGTGTATATCTTCTTCATTTTGCTTTTGGTGGCTGGAGTTACTAATAGGCTTGCATTTTAAATAAGTGACTGTAAGGTGCATACTGGTTCAAGTACAAGGATAGGTGATGGTGGTTTGTTTACATGTTATATATGTTTAAAGCTGAATAAACATTTTATAGAATTGTAGAATGGTTTGGGTTGGAAGGCACCTTCAAGGTCTTCTAGTTCTAGACCCCCTGCTATGGACAGGGACACCTTGCACTGGAACCCACTTTTGGATTCTTCAGATTGCACAAATATCTGGTGGTTTTTTTAATCGATCTTAGTAGTCTTATTAGCTTGATAGGAATAAAATTTTCAGGCACATTTTGGTAGGAGAAAAAAAAAGATGTTTTAATGTGACATTAGTTCTGGGCTACTCAAGAATTCATTAAAATATGAGGAAATTTATTATCCTCAATTTGATCCATCTCCATATAAGGTTCATTTTGCTCCTTTTACAATATTAATTGATAGAAGGGGTGGGGGAAAAAGTAATAAATTTATGTGAGATACAACCCTAGCTAGGCTTATTTCTAGTGTGTGCTAATTGCTTGCTTTGTTTTCTTTTTAATAAGGAAGGAATGGAAGAAATATTAATCATTGTATTTAAAAAAAAGGTTTTAAAATCATCTCAGTGTAATGAGAGCAGACATATTTTAGCTTTATCAAGGTAGTGTGGTAGTTAAGGTTTAGCTTGATATCCAGACATTAAACTAGTAAAGAATCAAAAGAAAATAAGATGCAGAATTTGTATTAATTAAAAGCTGTCCTCTGAATGGTGTTGAAGAGCTCATTTAGAATTCATGGTGCAATTTTTTTAAAAAAACCCTTCTTTTTCTCTTTCACAGGAAAGATGATAAAGATTACGCTTTAAAGCAGATTGAAGGTACTGGAATTTCTATGTCTGCATGCAGAGAAATAGCAGTAAGTAACAGTTCTTTCTACTAGCCAGACTTATTGAAAGTGTTGACTTGCATTTGCATGCTGGGTTTTGTTTGCTGAATCTTGTTATTCTGCTACGTGTACTATGTCTTTATCATAGAGGTATAAAGTAAGTACAAATGTCATGAAAGATTTTATGTACCTGTTATGTTTGCTGTCTAAAAAGGACAGGGTTTTTAAGTTACAATTTACTGCCTGCCTTAGGGCAAACCATATTTAAATGCAGTGGTGTTATTGTTTACCTTGGCTGAATGCCAGGTATCCACTGGGCCTGTGCCCAGCCTCCCCCCAGAGGAGAGGGGAGGAGGAAAGAGGGAAAAGTAAAAAAAAAAAACAAAAACAAAAAACAACTAACAAAAAACTGCGAAACTGAACCTGCTAAGAAAGGTGGTTTAATATTTACACAAAGAGGAAAAAAACTATAAACACTATACACACAGAGAACTAACAATAAAGACAACTTCCCCGCGAGAACGCTCTTCTCCTCCGAAGACATGGCCCGACTGTTCCACACAGCTACCTGGAAGAGAGCCTTGCTTCCTTCTCATCTCTTTTATATCTGAGCTGACGTAACATGGTATGGAATACCTTATTGGCACAATATGAATCAGGTGGTCTATCTAGTTCTTTTTCCCTCCCAGGGAGGGTAATAAACCCATTACAAGTGCTTTAAAAACATGATTGTAATTAGTGACTTAAATTACACATTTGATCTGAGTTTTTGCATTAGTACTTCATTTCCTAAAGAGATTAGTTCCTATTGGTTTACAATGATTAAAACATATTAACTTCTATTTAAGCAAAGACTTCAAACTAAACTGAAGTTGCCTCAGAGGCTGTGATACAGCCATGAATATTATTTAAACATTTCATTCAGTTTTTCAGGTTTGTATTTGTATATTTCATGTTGTTAGAAACTGGTGAATAATGTGATGTAGTTATGGTTTACAACAAGCTTCCAAAGCAATACTGGTAAAACCGGTATTCTGAACTGTTTTATGTTCTTGTGTTTTACTGCTGCTTGGGTTTATTGTTATTGAAATGTTTCAAGTGAAATTGCATACTAAAAGGACATGCACATAATTTCAGGGGGTGTGTGGGAAGGGTATAGTTTATTTTCAGTCCATATTCCTCAAGAGTATAAAACTTTACCCTAATTTCATTTTCTTGACTGAAGTTAGTACCAGGCTTTCCCACTTTGTCAAATTCCAGTTGACTTTGTGATATCAAAAACATTAGTCCTTGAACTGAATGAGATGAAAGAAACGATGCACAAAGACTGTTCTTCAGGAGATACTCTTTCTGTCCAGTGATGAAAGTTGAGTCTTCCGCTGTTGTGGACATTCGGTCTGAACTAAATGAACAGAAAACAGGGTCTTAAATTTTGCTAATTTCAACCATTTTGGTGGAAATTTTCCAAATATTGTGACTCTGACTGAATATCTTTAGGAAATGTCAGCTACCATTTCAGATGAATTTGGGATAAATTTTTGTCTTTCTGCAGTGATTTACCTAAAAAGATTTGAAGAGTTTGTTCTGCTAAAATTTGGCAGGAGAAGCCTGGCTGATGTTAGGGGGAGATGTCTCTGCTCTAGACAGGACCCTAGCTTACTTTGTCTGTTAAGAGAATCATTAACTTGGCTAACGGAAGAATTTGGCCTCATTGTGTGGCTTGAGGAGTGTTGTGCGCTCATCCTCTTTGCGCAGCAAGGTCACCAGTATTGATGGAAAAGGAGCGAGCAGCAGGAAGGCTTTTTCTTTTCTCTGAGCTGCTGCAGCATATGCCCTTTGAAGAGAACAGCAGTACAACACAGGACCCACGTGGAACAGGGTTAGGTGAGGGAAGGAGGGAAATGTGCTGAACATACCAAAGGTGCCAAGAAAGCAGATATTGAGAGTAAAGAGGGGAGTGGAGCCCAAAAGCAGGCGTAGAGGTAGAAAGAGAAACCTGAATTAGCGTTTACTGAGCTGTTGTTGACTTTGTTTCTGGTTGTGCTTCCAGGCTTGCAACTCCTAATACTGTGGTTGAATTTTCATGCAGTTGAATTAATAATTCACCATGGACTTGAATCTCTTTTTCTTGCCATTCTTTTGATGTTGCTGTTTGGAGTGAACAGGAGATTCCCCCTCCCCCCCCCCGAATGGTGTTTTTTATGGTGTTTTGCTAAATAGATTTTTTTTTTCCCCCACCCCTTCTATCAGTTAATATTGTAAAAGGAGCAAAATGAACCTTATATGGAGATGGATCAAATTGAGGATAATAATCATACTGTTTATGTATGAAAATGCTACAGAGTTAACATTTGTACCCTAACGTGATCTGTACGTCTAACTAATAAAATTATTTTTGTTGTGCTTAAAAAGTCAAGGCTGCATGCCAGACTTTGTTACAGTGTGTTCTGGACTACCCTGATTAATGCATTTTACAAGCATGGTGCTATTAAGAGGAATTAGGATGATTCCATTTGCATATGAGCTATATCCATTTCAGTTTCTCTGGAGAGCTGTGAAAATCTGGGAAGAGTGTAGTTTGGTATAAATCCCAGTAGAACTCTAGTTTTTACAACTCTGCTATGGCTTTTGTCTAGTATATGCGGGTTCAGTTTTGGAGTATTGAATGACTTTTATGTTTAAAAATGTCCGTAACTTACTCTTTCGAGACATAAGTTTGATACAGACACCTGAGATGAAGAACAGCTTCAGAAAAATAAAATAATTATCGACTTTCATCATTTGTAGGGAAAAGTTTGAACTAGGTCAGAGACCTGAGTTTAAACAGCTGACTTGGTGATGGGATGAGCTCAAAATATATATGTATGTGAAAGACTTTGTATGTTTCTGTACTTCTCTGCAGCATGAGAACTTGGACCTAGTGTTCAAGAACCTAGCTAGTCTGTTACTTGATTGTGAAACCCCCTCAACCTCCTTTTTCTATCATTTTATGTAAACTGTTTTGCCTAGCTGGTGGAGTTAACAGTTACTGTGCTAATTGAATCAGTATGCTTAACATCAAGATAGTTGAAGACTTATATATTCTTCCTTAATCTTTTCCCCACTCATCCATCATGATAAACATTTGTGAATCCTGCCTCTTTCAGAACCTTAACCACACATTTGGCTGCTCATTTCTTTTTCTCTGCAGATCTGTGTGGTGCCTGGGATTCCGGGTATCTATTTTGTGATCTGCAATTTCACTTCTGAGGATTTAAGCAGGCACTAAAAACTGCATGCTCAGCATGCCAAGAATTTGTGTTAAATGGGAGAGCAGAGGGATAGAATGGTGAGAAGATTTGTATAAAAATATGCAAAACATACAAGCCCAAATGATTGATTCCTCATCTTCTGATTTAATCACATTGAAGAAAGTCATTAAAGCCTATCCACCTGGAATAGTGCAGCAAATGCTATTTCACAGTTCGCAAAGCAAGAGAATTCTTCAAGGCTGTAGGACGCTGAAGTAGTTAACCAGGCTTTAAACAGAGCTTCAGGATTTTGGCTTGGGCAGTTTCCTATACAGGAGTCTTAGGTTTTGAACCAAACAAGTGACATTTTTTTGTGTTGATTAGCATTTTTTGTTCAGTTTCAGGAGGTTTGCAAGTACTTTTCTTGCATATGCTTCCTTTGGCCAGTGAAGACTTGCTGGAGTTGGGATTTTGTTTGGCTTTTTGTTGTTTAGCTGTGGGGGAGTTGTTTGTTTTTTCTTTTTATGGGTCTTTTTACGGGTCTTTTTACAGGTCTTTTTACATGCAGATTTGTTTTTTGATGCCTGGTCTGGTTGACAGAAATATCCTGGAAAAGCTGTTTTATATGGAACATATAAAACACATAGTCTTTTTATATGATACCATTAGGTTTTGACTTGTCTCCAAAGAGGAAGTGCGAGGTATGGTAGCAGACACTTTCAGTGATGGAAATGCTGAATGTGACAGATCTGGGGTGGACAATGTCTCCTGTCTCTGTGGTGTCTGTCAAAAACCATATCCAGCTTGTGCAAGTTAAAACGGCCTTGAGGCTGCCAGGGCCTTAGAGGCATTCACAGGATTTTATGGTTTCCTGTTGTAACAAATGCAGGCTGTTACCACAAAAGGTGATGTCTTCTGTGTTGGATGAGGTGACAGTGTGACTGTAGACTTTGGACGTTCATCTTCACCAAAGGGAAGATGAGCAGTTCTGTTAGTTTCCTATTGAGTGAGCAAGCTGAGTTGAACTATCCTTTGGCTGCACTGTGGCTTAACATAACTCCCGGGAAAGGGAGAGCCTCTGCAGCAGGCCTGCTCATCTCTGCATCTGCTTCATCACCTTGGTTTTCAGCTTCTGGCCTAGAAGGTGGCAGAGGTAGTGGCAGAGCTGGAGCAGCAGGCCTGTGCCCTGTAGAAGGTGAGAAGGGAGCTGCTGTTCATAAGTGGTCTTGGCTGAGTTGAACTTGGCAGAGGAGGCTACTCTAGAGGTGAACTGGTCCTCCCCACGCATTGGGGCTTCTATGTCCTTGGTGATAAGAGCATATCTTTACATGATTATCAAGCCTCTTTTCCCTCTGCCAGTGGAAGGGCTGGAAGAAGGGTGTAAGGGGTCTTTCAGAGCAGGTCTGAGGGTGACCAAGGACTCTGCAGCTTGCAGCAGCCAGAGAGGCCCCATAAGGCAGAAGCTAAACTGGGTGACTCCAGGATTCTCAGTCTTCAACACCTTCCCTTGGTAAAGAACGAAAACCCATCCCAATAACTTTATCAAGCTATGTTACTGGGCTGCAAACAATATTCTTGAGAGATTTTGTGTAGAGAGAGGGTAGCATTACTTTTAGTTCTACGGCAGTGAGACAAAGATATTAAGGTATTGTGATTAAATGTTTTAATTTAAATCCTTAGGAATCACATTTTCTGTGAACAGCAGAATTTGACTAAGCTTGACATCCAGTGTCTGCCTCATCTGGGTTCTTTGTCCATCTCCTTACTTTCAGAGGACCTTTAATAATGCCTCTTCTAATA